AGTTCAGCTCCCGTTTGCGGTGGTTTTGCTGGGCTGGGTGCAGGATTTGGCCCCATCCTTGCGGTGCCAAGGGGGAGCAGCTCAGAGAGAGATGGATTTTGGGATCTGAGTCCCCCCAGGGAGCCCCAGCAGCACCCATGGGTCCTGACCCCACCAGTCCCCTGATGGCTGGGGGGCACCACCATGGTGTTACCTCTTGGCCAAGCCCCCTTTTTTGGGGCAGATTCCCGTTTTCCTCAGCAGGAGGCAGCTTCAAGCCACATCTACTACAAAAAAAAAGATAAAAAATAAGGAAAACCACCCAAAAAAAACCCCCAAAGAGCGGAAAGGTTTGGGTTTCCCAGCTTCACACAGCCCCCGGGGTCTCATCTTTCCCATCATTGCTCACCAAACTGGTCCTCTCCAGACACCGATGGGCAAAACCAACCCTCCAATTATTCCCCCACCACCCCAAAATTTGGGGTCCCATTACCCCAACCCCCTTCCCTGTCCTCTCCTGGGGTCTCTTACCCTGGCAAGGTCCCCGTCCGGGCTCTCTCTGGTTTGGGATGTGGCGGTGGCGCAGGGGACAGCTCATCCTTTATAAGGTCCCCGAGGGAGGTGGCACCCGGGGGAGGTGGAGCTCCTCTGTGTCACTGGGACCCATCCTGTCCCCATCAGCTCCCCGCACCTCGACAGGGGTGCAGGATTAACCCCAGCACCTCGAGCATCTTATCCCAGCCCTGAGGAGGTGGGGGGGACCCAAAAATCACCCCAAAAATCATTGGGAAAGTGGCAGTGACGATGTGGGTGGGTGATCCTGAGTGGGCCCCCTGTGGGATGAAGAAATTGGGGTGTTAACCCAATTAAAACCCAATTAAAGCTCAGCCCATGCTGGGATGCAGGATGCGAACCCCAATATCAGGGGGGTGATGCTCCAGGCTGATAGGAGCCACTTATTGGGGCGTCAAGCTCCCAAAAAGGCACCAGGAACTGATAATTAGGGAGTTTGCTCACACTTATGCCCCCCAAAACACTTCCCAACCTCCCCCATGGGGGTCCCAGCACCCCCAGATTGGCCACAGAAGCTCCAGGGGGGTGATTTCCTGCCCCCCATCAAAGGGTTGAGGCACTGGGCTGATGCTGAGCCCCGTTCCCAAGCCATCCACACAGCCCCCGGGTTGTCCCCAGGGAGCAGGACCTGGCGGCCACGCTAAGTGACAGATTTGGAAGCGAAGCGGAGGGGACCAGCAGAGGTCACGGCTGCGGGGCTCCAGGCTGCCTAATTCCCAATTAAGCAGGCGCCGGGCAATGATCTCCACAGACGGAAGATTCACCAAGGGCAGAGGAATTTATTCAAGGCAGGAAGCTCTTAATTGCGCTAACGAAGGCTCAGAGTGAGCGGGATTGCGTCAGCCTCCGGTCCCATCTCGCCGTTGTTGCTCCAAAGGGGGGGTCCTTCTCCCACTCAAGACATGGTCCAGGGTGTCACAGTCAAGCCCCGGGTGCAGCTAACGGGGGAAATTTGGGTTTTCAAGCCTTTGGCGATGAGGTTTTGGGGTTTTCACGCTGCAAACCCACAATGAAAGCAGGCGGAGACGGGCTCGGTGTCACCATCACTCCAGAGCAGGACAAGCCAGCGCTGAGCATCCCCCAGAGCCCAAGCAGAGCTGGGAGGACACCACGTCCCCACCCCAAATCCCAGGGACCATCCCAGTTTGGTTTCCCCAGGGATTTGAAGCCAAGGGAAGCACAAAACCCCTCTCCCCACACCCCTGGATGGCTCCATCCCACCAGGAGGTAACGTCCTCAAACCAGAGGGGCCATGGGGTGACACAACCACAGCTCAGTGACCCTAAAAGGGTGGCAGAGAAGGACCCCGAGCCCCAAACCAGCATCCGCAGCCTCTGCACGTCGCCACAGTCGGCCTCATCACCACGGAGTAAAACCGAGGCCTTGGCCTTGACCTCACGTCCTCGACCTCCGCTATTAACGGAGCCCTTCGGTGTGGAGAGCAATGCTTTGTAGTTTTTAAGGAAAAACGGGTGACGCCGGTGCCGGCATCCGTCAGCAGGACCCGGTGCTATATAACACACACCCGCTCCCCGGGACGAGCAGCCGAAAACGCTCCGGACCCCGCAGCCATGGCCTGCAGGGCACTCACCGTCGGCCTCCTGGGGCTCCTGGCTCTGTCCTCCGCTTGCTACATCCAGAACTGCCCCATCGGGGGCAAACGCGCCGTCCTGGACGCCGACATCAGGAAGGTACATCCCTGCAGCCCTCCCCTTGCACTCTCCCAACCTTCCCGCAGGGAAAAGCTCATCCTTTCCTAAATAATTCTCTCCCACCCCTTTCTTCCATCCCTCCCCACCCCAATTTCCCGGCGCAGTGCATGCCCTGCGGCCCCAGGAACAAGGGCCACTGCTTCGGCCCCAACATCTGCTGCGGGGAGGAGCTGGGCTGTTACCTGGGGACGGCCGAGACGCTGCGGTGCCAGGAGGAAAACTTCCTGCCCACCCCCTGCGAGTCGGGGCGCAAACCCTGCGGGGGCAGCGACGGAGGGAGCTGCGCCGCCCCCGGCATCTGCTGCGGCAGCGGTGAGAGACCCCCAACCCTGGAGGGAACGCTCTAGCGGTGGGAGAGGGGACCTTGCCCCAAAAAAACCCGTCTGTCTCCGTAACGGCCAGGACAGGCGCGATCCTGAGCCCAGGGAAGGGGATAACAGCCCGGGAGGTTTTGGGGACGGGGGTAGAAGGCAGACACCAACCCAATTTTGGGGGAGCAAGGAGTGGTAACTGACAACCCTCCTGAACTCGCTACCCTTTCCCAAAAAGCCCAACCTGCTCCTTACTTCACCCACTAACAGGGATCGTGTTGCAAATCCCACGGACCGGATGAGATCTTGCTCCGTGTTACCAAAAAGACGCCATGGGGGGGCTCCAAGGGCCGGTTCGTGCTGTTTCGGTTGACCCCTCTCTCCCCCGGCGCAGAGGGGTGCGTGCTCGACTCGTCCTGCGACCACGAAACGCTGTTTGCATAGAGCAGCCCGCGGAGGAGAGCCGAAATTCGGGAGAGGAGACCCAAAATGCAGGATCCCTCATCTACAGAGCCATGGCTCCCCTGCATATCAGGCCCACAACAGACGAGTCAAGGTCTGGGACTGGGATTTAAGCGATGATCTTAATTAAAAATGAATTAAAATTTCAAACAATCTGGTTTTCGTGTGCTTGCCTGGTTTAGGAGCAGATTCAGGAGGGGATAAAGCTGTTTTTTAGGGAAGTGTAGATAAAAAAAATGAGTGAGGGCGGGCAGAGGATGCCTGGGCCGTGGGTGAACGAAAGCAAACCCCAGGCTGGTGCTGGGCACCCCAAAAACCAGCGATTTTGGGGGCAAAGCCGCCCTCCAGCACATGTGGGGATCACCAAAGTGAGCGTGGCTTGGTCTGACAGACCCCAAAGCACCAAAGACCCCAAATAATTAAGGTATCAACTGCAGCGTAACCCCAAGTGAAGAGGAAAATAACGAGAAATAGGAAAGGAGACACAGAAAGCGGCGCCGTTTTGACGCTCTCTGCTTCATTTTCACGTTCAGCCACAGCAACGGCCGCGCTCGGAGCAGGATCTGCCCCCGACTGGCTCCTGCTCTTCCCAACCCATGCCCCGTGTGAGAGCGGGAGGGATCCCAAAAAGGGGCTGGAAGCGCAGAGTCCCAGCGCCCGGTGCACGAACCGGCAGCTTCTCTTACAAAAAACCAGCCCAAATTTCTCCCTCGCCCTCCTTCCCGTGGACATGACCCCTTCTGAAGAAGCACAGCCAGACCTGCAGGCTTCCTCCAACAAACCCGTGCTCCGTTTCTACGTTAAAAAGGGACAAACGGGCTCGAGAGCGGAGCCCATGGGCAGAACCCAGGCTGGGGGGTGGCTAAGACAGCACCGTCTGCTTGACGACGCGCCCCTCCTTGTCGATGGCGAAGTTGGGGTTGCGAGGGTTGTCCAGGCACTCCTGGATGCGCTCCTCCAGGTTCTCGGGGGTGATGAAGGTTTTCACTTCCTCCTGCAGGAAGGACAGGCACCGGTTGTTAACGTAGGGCAGCACAGAAATGGCCGGGGCCCACAGAGCTCCCCCCAAATCTCTTAAAGCTCCCAAGATGCCACCAGGATCTCGGCAGGAGAAGGAAATCTTTGCTCTCCCTCTCGGGATTATTCCTCCCTCTGTTTTCCAAGCTCTCACTCAATCTCCCCCCGTCCACGCGCTGTCAGCACTCCCAGAAGGCGCCAACGCTTGCGGTGCCGGCTGCCAGCGTGAAAATCTCTGGAAAAGGAGCTCCCACGCAGCTCCCAGGGGCTGCCAGCAAATCCTGGCCAGGCAGGCGCCGGCTGCTCTCACCTGCAGCTGCAGAACCTCCTTCTCCTTCTCCTTCAGGAAAGCCTCCATCGTCCTGGCCCTGTTCTCTGCAGCCTGCAGCTTCTGCACTCTTCCTCCTCTTTCCGGAGCCGTTCCTCTCTGCCACAGAAAATGGAAAAATTAAAACCTGAAAACAAGCAGGGTTTGCTGAATGCTCTGCGGGGTGGCACCGCAGTGAGATGTGCTCATCCCTTGACATGCAAAGCCTGTGAGTTTGAGTGCAGAATGAATGGGAAGGAGCGGGGTCACCATGGCGGGGAAGGGCCCAAGGCGGCCCCAGTGTGGGGACACAGAGAATTCCCTGCCTCCGGTGAGAGAAAAATTAACACAGGGACTGGGGCTTGAAAGAGTCCAGCAGGGCCACAGAGATGATGGGGGGAGTGGAGCATCTCCTGCTGAGGAGCGGCTGAGGGAGCTGGGGCTCTTGAGCTTGGAGCAGAGGAGCCTGAGGGGTGCCCTCATTCCTGGGGATCCATTGGGAAAGGGCAGTGTCAGGAGGAAGGAGCCAGGCTCTGCTCTGGGATGGCCAATGCCAGCACAAGGGGCAATGGTCCCAAGCTGGAGCACAGGAGGTTCAAGCTGCAGATGAGGCCAAAGTTTGTGAGTGTGAGGGTTCTGGAGCATGGCCCAGGCTGCCCAGAGAGGTTGTGGAGTCTCCTTGTGTGGAGACACCCCACGCCCTGGCCGTGTTCCTGTGGGACTGCTCTGGTGATCCTGCTCTGACTGGGGGAGCTTTCCAGGTCCCTTCCAACTCCTCATGTTCTGTGGATCTGTGACTGTGTCTGGGAGCTCGCAGTCAGGGATGTGATTCTTCTGGCAGGACTCGAAATGGCAAAGCTCAACATGGACCAAGGAGCAGCCAGCAGGGATGGGATAGGTGGGATTTTCCCTTCAAACCTTGTCCGGCTTCATAGAATCACAGACTTCTGACATTCAGCACACGTGGATTTATTTTAAAAGGTCCAAATTCAGGTCAAGTGAAAGTTAAAAATCAAAGCGAAGGGGCCCGACCTGCGCTCCCGCTGCCGGGCGTTCTCCGCCTCGTTCCAGGCCATCAGGCGCCTGTGCTCCTCCATCAGCTCGGCCGAGTCCTCCCTGCTCAGCGACGCCTCCTTCTTCTTCTGCAGCACCTCGGCCCTGAACTCCGCCCTGCGGGGAGGGTGAGCTCCTGTGTGGGGCTGGGCTCTGGGTAGGGGCTCCCAAACCTGCCCCATAGCAAGGCCA